GGGGGGGGGGGGTAAATCTTGGCCATTTTGGTGGGGCGAGTGGTCCAAGATGGCGACCCCCCTCCTCTCCAAAAAAAACTGGAAAAGCAACATTACCAACATGACCAACCCACCAAAATGACCAAGAAGACCGAGAATGACTTTCAACGTTAACGTTAGTGCTTCCCGATTCCCAGCACAGTGTAGTGTAGTGTAGTAGTAGTCGTCGTCGTNNGTCGTCGTAGTGGTAGTGGTAGTAGTAGTCCTCGTAGTAGTAGAAGTAGAAGTAGAAGTAGAAGTAGAAGTAGAAGTAGAAGTAGAAGTAGTAGTAGTAGTAGTAGCAGCAGCAGCAGCAGCAGTAGCCGTAGTGGTAGTGGTAGTGGTCGTGGTAGTAGAAATAGTGGTAGCAGCAGCAGCAGCAGCAGCAGCACCAGAGGCAGTGGGCGCGGCGGAAGCTCAAGTAGCAGCATTAGTAGTATTAGTCGTCGTCTTGGCATCGTCGTGATATGACGGAGCCATGATCAAAATCCGGAAACAACGGGGACATTTCAACCCCAGGCTACTCCCATCCCTGTAGCTGTCGGCGCTGTTGAGGCTATTTCCTGCAGACTGCGCGCTCACCTGCCACTCTCCCTCCTAGGCCACTAAACTTCACTAAACATCACTAACAGGGGGGGGAGCGTTTCCGCAGCGACGCGGCTCTATGCAAAACGTCCAAAAGCACGGGCCCCACTACAGCCGGTGAAGTTTCAATACCTAGTCGCAACGCTGTGGATCCACGACAACATCTGATGCCTTTGCATCGTCCACACCAGCAGAGACCTTTTCAAGCTCTGCAGCAAGCCGTGCGACTTCCGCCTGTGCACAATCATGCAATGCGGATGGGAAACATGATTCAGATGACATTTTGCTGCGCCTCGGCTTCTTGTCGGAGTCGCTTCCTTTCACTGAGCTTTTCCTGGAGTTGGCGCTGGCGCGATTTGCTTATTGACTGACAGGGAGACGACACACCGGCTCGACATGCATCCAAGTGAAGAGCATCAGCAGCTTCCAGCTTTTGTTTGGCCTCTGCAACCTCCACAGGGCTGTTGTGCAGCAGTGTTATGTGGACAGTGCGGCCACAAGCCTGAGCTGAAAAGCCCTCATCCTGCACTTCCTCCTCTTGGGCCGATCCGTACAAACAGGCGAAATCACCTGCAAAGATAAGGCCGCTCAAACTGGCGAAAGATGCGGCGTTGAGCATGACATTGAGACGTCCAGTTTAACCGACAAGCCACTAAGGTCGAGGGCAGGCGTCTGCATCCAAGCGCGGGAGCCATCCTCCGAAGTTGCACTCTTGGGACTCGCAGCTCGCCCGTTGGATAACAAAATGCGTCGTTACTCGACCTAGCGGCCTAGCGCTTCACAATGTTCACGCCTCATGAAAGACTTCGCGAGACATCTCTGTCCGCGTGGCCGTTGTTCTGGAAGACTTCCCCCAAAAAAGTTGCCACAACTTGTTCCCGTACATTCCTGTACCTACTCAGTACCTGTGCATACCTCATGCGGCTACGGGCAATACATTCGGGATTCCTATACAATTTCTGAGCCCAGCATGTTTTTGCCCAGCTCTCCTCGGCTGCTGCGGCGGCAAGTTCAGCCTCCTGGCCCTGAGGAGTCGGAGAAGTCCCAGCAGTCCCAGGCTTCAAAGAAACGGCCTCTCCGTGCTTCTCACGCAGAAGGGCTCGTGTCTCACCCTGCAGCGCCCGCGAACATGCGTCGCTGGCGGCGCTAGGGGAGGAGGCGAAGCTTCAAGCGTGCCTGTGCAGGATCCACCCACTCAAAGAGGGCTCGGATCTCCTTAGCCTGGCGGCACAGCTCGAAGGAGCAGTACAGTTTCCAGTGTGGCACTTGCTCAAGATACGGATGCACCATGTCACCAGTGGAGCGCAGTAGGGGCTTCTGCAGGAAGCTCTTCTCAGGTAAGGAAAGGGTCAGGAAGCGTCAGGCGTCAGTGTTCACGGACACTGCTGTACAGTTTGGCCATTGGCCAGCTCGATTCCTGGAGCAAGAGGAGCCTTCGAAAAAGCTTTAGAAAAGCTCAACTGCTTCATGCGCCTCTGGAGAAAGAAAGCATCTGCAGCGGCTACTGGAGGAAGGACTTCACGTGGCGTAGATAGGGGCCCGTGCGGCCATGGGAAAGTGGGCTGTCACTTGCATCGGTGCCCCTGATGCAGTGGCACAGAGGCTAGCAGGGGCTCGTCGAAATCGTATGTAACCCAAGCGGCTTGTGATTCTGTTTCGTCGCTGGATGACAGGAAAAGCGCAGTGGCCCCAGAGACCAATTGGGATTCCCTGTCAAGATTGGATTTGTGTGCTGCTGAGTCTGGTGGGTACAGTTGTGCAATCTGAATCTGGTGTTTACAGCTGACCCCAAGGCAGCTGTGTACAGCTGTGGGGTCCACACTAGACCCACTAGACTCACAGGCACGACTCGTGCGGCACGACCCCAAGCAAAGTGCCGTAGAACACGTTGGAATCCTTCAGTTAGCATGCGATGATTGCTTGCTAGCTCGAAGCGCTACTAACCATGAGTCCACTTTGCTCTACGGGTCGATGGTCGTGTGGCGCGTAGATCAGCTCATGGTGAAAGCCCCCAATGCCAGGCAGTCGACAGCTCTTCCAGAGTTGTACAAGTAGGGCTCTCAAAGAGCGGTATTGTCCCGCATTGCTGTCTGTTGGAAGCAGCACACACGATAGATTCCGATAGATGACAGATAAGTACAACTCCAGACCCGCCAGTTGACGTGTGGGCAGACATCTCTTTTCGGTCGGCAATCTGGAGCTTTTCGAACCAGCATGGACGCTGACTCACACTGCCCACACTACAAGAGCCGAGCTGCCATTGACTGCATCAGTTTGGCTGGCCTTGGCTTTGCAGAACACCCAAGAGCCTTGAATAGCACAAGCTCCAATTCAAGCTTTGTGCAAGCGAGCATCGTTTGCGGGTACGGCCTCTCCAGAGCTGGATCTTCATCACGTTTCCGCCACACGGAATCTGTCGGGGAGAACATGTTGCAGGCATCACACCGAAGAACGGATGAGGTGGATGGCCAACCATTACTGTTGACCTGCGCTGTTTGGTTTTGCTTGCCGCAGTAGCTGATAGCTTTCTTGCTGACGTGTCATGGTCCTGCTCCAGGCTCCGTTCACTACATGCAGGCCATGAGTGTGCCTATCTCCCATTGAGTTCTTCTTGTCTTTACGCGGGTCCCGTTGACAAAGGTAAGGAGCAAGGCCTGCCCCGTGCAGAGTGGTACCAATTGTAATGCCAGCCAACCGAGCCAAACAGTATCGAAGGGCAGCATTTCACTGAACTTAGAATCCACATCGCCAATGCGTCGTCCGCGCCCGCAACACTTCTAGGTAGACATACACTCCCTACACCCTTCAGCCTGATTTGGCATGCTCATCGGCATCATGGAAGAGATGGAACTTCGATCCACTGCAACACCTCACCACCAGATCCAAGCTCTGCAGCTTTGCCCAAGCTGGCCGACAACACTGGGCTTCCGACTTCTCCGAAACTGGTGCAGTTCCTAGCCGGGACGGGTATCCCGCAGCCTCCAACGGAGAGTACGAATCTTGTACCTGTTCCAACTTGTTGCACCCTGTTGCGACAACATGTGAACTCACTAGCACTCCAAATCTGCATGTCGGATGCGGAAGCTTCTCGACTCCCCTCTCTTTCACAGGTTCTGTCTGCTGCAGGTAAGCGGGACAAGGGGCATGCATGTCAGCTGTGCCTTGTGCATCACGCACGCTGCCCAAAAATAATGGGCATTGGTGCCATTGGCGCAAAGCTTGGCGCAACGTGCCTGGAGAAACTAGGGGGCTTGTGGAAAGCATAAGGTTTGCTTCTGTCACTCGTCCCGACGAACTGGCACGAGCATAACCTGCTGCCAGAGGTGCTGAAACTGCATTGATGGTAGTTGTTGCTGCAGGAACTGCTGCTGCGGATGTGGCTGCTGCAAGGGAATCTGCTGCTGAAACATGACCTGATCTTCCGCAGAGAGTAAGCGCACTGATGTACACACTGGCGTGTCCAGTGCTTGATCCTGAACCCTGGAAGTACTATGGAACTCAGAGACAAAGGAGCGGGTGGGCTGCCCCTGCATTGCATCGGCTGCTGAAGCAGCAGCTGTGCCATGGGGGATTGTGTGTACCTTCAAGCAACCGTGCAGAAACTTCGAAAGCTCTTCGTCTTCGCCGAGCGCTTCTTCAACTTCAACGCAACGCTGCGCTGCTCCTGCAGTGTGCAAGGCCGAGGTACTCCGGGCGAAAGTCCGACTTCCTCTCCGTGGCGACGGGTCCTTGCCGCAGCCGCAAGCGCTGCATGCACGGTATTCTACACATGCTATCGCAACGTGCACATGTGGGTCCTGCAGCCAAGACAGGCTGACCAGCCTGCCAAAGCAAAGCAATACTGCTAGATGAGAATCCTCTGACCGTCTGACCTTCTGATGGTCCCAAGCTTCTTGCAGGGATGAGGAAGGCATCCACGCACCACCAGAATCGGGAATATTCGCATTTTGGATAGAGTCCGTGCCTCTGTCGATCGCCCCTTCGGCTGAGATTTGGCCTGCCAGCGAGAAAAGGCTTGACAATAGAATAACAGACATGCCAATCGGATGCAGAAGTTCAAACGGTGTAAAGGCAGTGAGGCCCAAGGCAAGGCGATCCCATCTGCCTTGGCAGAGCCTTTCGCACCCTTTGGCGGGCCCTGAGGCACTTGAGTCGCTTGCCTGGGCTATGGCTATGGGTTCAAGGGCGGCCCTCTATGACCCTCCCTCGCCACACGAGCACAAAGCAGGCATCGGTTGCAGTCAAAGTTGCTGCGGCTGCATTGGCTGGCCCTGCGGCTGCTGTGGCTGAGGCTGCGGATCGGAATCCCGCCGAGCACCTCTCTACTTAACCCTTCTGGCAGAGCGGCACCGCGGAGTCGTAAATCAAACTCAATGCTTGCGGCCTCTCTTTCGGTTGTTTCGGCCGCCTCTGCGGCGCGTTTTTCCAGTGGTGGAGGGCTCCTGGGTTTGATGCTGGCAACCCTTCACTGCCGCAGCCTGCATGAAGAGTTTCGACAAGTCGGCACCCGTATCGTTTGGTCAAAGCGCCAAGTCGATTCAAGTCGCATTTGCTCGCATTTGCTCGCTGCAAAGGCGACCAGTTGACAAAGCAGCTGCAGCTTGAAGCAGACAGCTCCAAAAATCGCCTACTACTGTGGCTCTGCTCTGTGGCCAAGACGAAATTGAAAGCCTTTCGCATACCGGAACATCTCTCCAAGCATTCGGCAGAAAATAATTGTGACTCGTGTATGGCGGTATTGTGTCAATTTTGGAACCATGCAAATCGGAGCATCAGTCCTGTAGTTTGCTGGGTGGGCTTGAATGACTGGAGATTGCGAGGCACTGCTGGCAACTTCGACTCTGCGCCAGGTTGCATACATGGCAAGACACGATATTAAGGGCTTGTCTAGTTTTGTGCTCCCTGCATCCTTGATCTTGGGTTTCCCAGACTATATTAAGTTTTGTCGGGAATAGGCCTGGGCTTTCATGGAGTTCCTTAGAAGGGTCGGCGAGCCGACCCGCCTGCTCGGCCGGCGAAACTTCTTCGGCCCCCGTTTTGGACGTTGCTGGACTTCAATTGCGCACTGGGTCTTGTGGACATGTGCAAAACCAAAGCCCGCGGAGGTTGCTCCGGGGCGTCGCTCGCCGGAGCTCGAGCTACTGTACAAGCACTGAGCTTCTGCAAGGCGGGAGTGACTCTGCATTGACTTCGGGAGAGCGATCCGGAGGCGAGTGTATTCTCTCTTCGAGGGTCGTCGATCTCTGCGTTCCGGGTGGTGTGCTCATGTCGCATGTGTCTATCACGTGGTTGCTGGCCCCACATCATGAGGGGTCTTTTCGTGCTCGTAGATCATCTATGTCATCAACGGCTGAACTTCGGACTCTAGACTCTAGCACTCGCTTCGACGTTCTGTTGCGGAAAAACAGTGCAGTCTGCTTGTGTTCTTCCGAAGGCCAATGCAATGCAACCGACATGTTGTGAGTTTGTAAACTCCTATCATCTTACAAATGTTGCTGCGCAATGCAATCGACATGTTACCAGCATGCTCATCGCCTAAGTGCAGAACGGGAAGCTCTGATCCAAACAGCTGGTTCTGTCGATGGCATTCCAAATTGACTGCTCCGTGCCACACGTACATTGGTTTCCACCTAGACAAGGAGCAAGAGACAAACACACGGACGGACGGACAGATAGACAGAGACGCGCACTCAAAGGCCTGAACGGTGGGCACTTCCGACAAAACTGCAAGTTCGAAAGTCCTAACATCCTAACGCCATTCCCAGAAATTCCTACAATGTCCAACAAGATTGGGCACCAGAGACTGACCCAGACAGCCTCCAAGATCCGACGCAAAATGAATAGAGATGCTGAAATAGACCGAACACTCCGTGCATAACTTTTCACCCCAACACAAACACCTACCACCACCAAGAACAACAACAAAGACAAAGTCAACATTCGATCTAAATGAGGCGACATGTCACTCTTTGCAACCAGCGAGAGCTGTGTATGCAGTGGTGATCTGCTCTTCGACAGTCCATGGGAAGTGCTTGAATCTGTCTGACGCAAACAGAAACTGGCCACGTCCTGATTCTCAGGTGCATCGTCATCTCCATCGTCCTGCAGAGCAGCGGATCATACCACTCCGCACTGCAACGATTCGTACCGCCTCGTCTGCTGGCGCGCTGCCAGGACTTCGGCTAACGAGGCCCGCCTGCTTTGATTGGATCAGTGCTGAT